GGGAATTTTTTTTTTAAAACTAAGCTATGATTTTGGTATGTGCTATGATTGATTGAATATAATATTGAGTATGCCTATTTCATACCAATTTTGTTCCAATTTCTGCTGTGCTCTGACTTGTTAGAGAAGTCCTCACTCACTGCACTGAGCAATGTGACTATTGTCTACACCTTCCATAATAAAAAGTAATACCCAAGGTATTAACAGAAAAAGATGTGATGCTCATGTGCTCTTGGTTCCTTTTCCACGATTTCTAGAGGTTGGCTTGACAATAAACACAGTCAGAGCTTCCTCACAATCCATATTTATTCTTGTAAATTGTAGGTCAGTTTTTTTTTAAATCACTTTTTCATTCATAAAAATATCACTGATGTAGTAAGCGTATCAATTCCTCCATGAAGCACTCCTTCAGGTTAGGCACACTTTGACCACTGACTTCATTTAAAGTTTTTTTCATGTTACCGAATATAATCCTCATCAAATACTTTAAATGGCCTGAGAATTCTTTGTAGTTGCTCTTCCTGTTTGCATGATGAACTGCAGTGATTTTGCTAAACCAACAGTTAACTTTAGTGGTGGTAAGAGTATATATAAGTAATTTTAGTGGTCCAACATAGATTCCAAACTAATTCTCAAACTACCGTCATGTCTTCAAAATAAATACAGTCAGTAATGTGAACTTCTATGCTTTCAGGCATCATCAGTAAAATTGTAATCAGTGTCCTCTTTCTCTGGGTTGATCCTCCTTATGGTCCCATGGAGTTTAGCTAAAGTTAGGAGCACATAATATGCTTCTGTAGTTTCATGAAACAATGAAGTTATCGAGCTACTTAAATAACTGGCTTTTATATTTGTTTTTTTTTTTTCCTAACTGTGAAATGAGCTTGCTCACTGTTCATTTTTCACATATTCAAACAAGGATGTATTCTTATGACAGCATTTGTTCATTTCCCTGTGTGGGAAAATGAAGTTCCATTACTTATCATTAGTGTCCTATTTATGCAATGGGCTAGTGAAGAAAATACTGTCAGAATCAATTGGACTAGCAGCAGAATTTGGTGATTACAGAAAGCAATTAATCAAATTTGTGGTGACAAAGCAATAATAACTCTGCTTGGTCAGAGCCCTAAAGAAATCACTAACGGGTCAGAGAAAAATTTTTTTATTACTTTCTAAAAAAGATGTGTCTACTTAGAAAAAAGTAAAGTTGAAGTTCCAATTACTTACTTGAAATAAGAATTAAAAGCCTAAGATGAGCCATTCATCAGCAACTTGTAATTTAACCACAATGCATATTTAAAATCAAATATATAATTTATATTCCAGCTTTCAGAATTACTGGTATTTTACAAAGTAACATCATTTTAGAATTTTTTTCCATATTGCTTTATTATAATTAAGTGTTTAACAATTTACACATTGAGTTTATAATTTCTTTGAAAAACCTTGCTTGGATTTTAAAATAAATTTTATTTGCAAAGCCAAAGTGACATGGTATAATAGAACTGTGACTTAAATGCAAAAATAGAATATCACCATTAGGATTGATGTGGTCTCTCTGATTGAAAACTGAAATAAAAATTGTGGGTTTTCTCCCCCAAGTTGTTGGAGAACCCTGCACTTAAAGGTCTGAATAGCTCTCCAAGCTCATTGCAAAATAGAGGACCTGGATAGTGTCTCTAGGCTCAGAGACCTGACCTTATCTGGAAGTTGTCTGTCCCTAAGCCTGAATGCTTGACCAATTCAAGCATGACCTTTGACAAAGATCCTTACAGACCTTTCTCCCCTTGCTGCACATATGATAATTAGGTTTTGTGACATCAGCTGTATGGTAGGATCATGCTGCCAAATGCAAATTAGGTGATGTCCCAGCTGCTGTTCCTATCTTCTGGAATAAAGCTGAGCTCTAACACTGGTGCAGAGTCCTGGAAGGCTTTTCCTTTCTGCTGGTGGCCAGCTGAACCCTGTCGCCTGCTTCTGTTCCCTCCGCCATGTTTACCAATGACCAATGATTCCCGAGGAGGGCTGAGAGACACAGTAAAACAGTGGTAATGGAATATTTATAAGGGCATCATTATCCTACTTATGGGGCTTTCTTGTCTTGCAAAAAAGTTATGCTCTGTATCTAGAACATCTTCTTAAATTGCCCTCCTTCACTGCACCAAAAATAAAAACAAATTTTGTTAATATTGTGAGTATATTATCTAGAGGTGTCTTAGAAAACTTCACAGAAATATACAATACCCAAACACATTAGCCAAATTAAGTTTGAACATACTCTGTCCCATATCAAATTTATATTTTACCTTTGAACAAATACCACTCCAAAACACATATATTAAAAACTAAAACTAAATCAATTGCCCAGCATATGACCCAAAGCATCAAATTCTGTGTCTTATAGACACATTGGTGTTTAAAAAGATTTTTGAAATTGGTATAAAGAGGTTGGCATAACAGTCACAATTTCTGATAGGGTTTTTCATTTAGTATATTTATTTTGAGGTTCTCTTAGGGATATGGATTTGGCAACAGCTTGTTACCTTTTATTGGCACGTAGATTTCAATTATATGCTAGTTATTAAATTTGGTGATCCAGTCACATACTGATAATAATGTGGAAAATGTCTACATTAGGGTATGACAAGGTTACTCTTAAGTATTTATATATGAGTCTGTGTAGGTCTTGACATTCACACAAAAAGTTCCTACAGGTCTTAAGTCACATTTATCCAATAATTATTCATTTATATTAAATATTTGCACTATGTCTTGATTTATATACATACAAGGCATACATATCTATACACAATGCAATACATAATACTGTCTACATTACAATTTTGTATCAGGAGTAGAGATATATTGGAATAATCTACATACAAAACACACAGGAGATGATAACACTCTATAACATATTAAGCAGGCAGGGATCAATGAGATGCAGAAGACTTTATCAAAATGATTAACTAAGGTGAACCAATATAGTAAATATGCTAACATTCATAGATGACTATACCTAAGGACTTCTCAGATCCTGGCAAGCGATGGTATCACCTAACTAAAGCAAAGCAAACCCAGTCAGAAAAAAAATTAAATGAGGAAAGAGGCTGTTATGGAAACAAAGGCAATCAGTTGGTGACCAAAACTACACAGCCTCACTTTATAGTCTTCCAGCTGAAAGTAGCCCTTTGAGATAGGAAACAGTTTACATTCCAGGGAGCCGCCAAAGGAAAGGGCATTTTCAGCAGAGTGTACATGGAGAAGACACCAAAGATGGTATAACCTGTGCAAAGAATTTGAAGACAAGGAAGGTTTTGCCCACGAGGCTTGTGACTTAAATGGGGCACAGTTGATATGGAACAAGAACTGGGGATTGAGTTAGATTGGGGGACTTGTGAAACTACACTCAGGTGAAAGTAAATTCTGATAAATGCCTTAATTCTCTTGAATGCCTTGGTACTGAGGATATTGAGCTAAGTCAGGATAAGCAGTAAATAATAACACTTTCTTGGTCGAGATAAGAGACTAACTTGATGTTTAATTGGCAATAAAAGTAAAGAATGTTGCCTATATTATGCTGAATGCATGAGCATTCCATTTGAATTGTGTTCTTTTCTGTTTATTTGCAGAAACTGGTTAAATCTCACTCGCTGTTGCATAATCTTTACTTCTAGAATGGCAGCTTGGCAATATTCAGACAATCCCAAGCAGCACCTCATTCTTTGTTAAACTTTATTGGTCTTTTTGGGAAGAAGACTCAAAATTTTCAGGAAGTTTTATCATTAGTGAATGATGTGTAAGGAGTGTTGTGTGTATGTGGGTTTGATTGTGTCAGACATTGACCTAGGAGTTCATGAATCATTGTTAAATTTAGAATGAATTGGAACAGCTGAGAATCAGAACACATTGACTTTCACATAGTTCTTTTCTCATGTCTTTCTGTATACATGATGGTTCATCACAATAAATAGATACGGTGTTTCCTTAACATACTGCCCTTAACCGGATGTGGTTTTGTCTTTCTAAATGTTGCTTATAGTTCCATATTTGTCTGTAAAATGTTTTTGTTTGTTTGCTTCATTATTTGTTTTAAGTGAGGAACATATTTAACCTTGCTTCTACAATGTTGTCTCCTAATATCCCAGATAAGGAGCTTGGACAGAGACCTCGTGATTTTATACAAACTTGACTCATGGCTATCTGTTGTACAAATCAAGTGCTGTATAATGTAGTCCTAGTCTTAGAAAGGAAAAAAAAATCTGTAAAAAAAAAAAAAAAAAACAGAAGCAGGTGCAAACAACACATAACTAACTAACTCAGTCATTAATTTTTTAGTACAAATTAGCCTGAAATAATGGGAAGGAAAAAGGTTAAATATTGTGATGGCTTGGATGATCTGTCTGCAAAATGCATATGCTTAGTTATTAAATCCTCACAACTTACAATGTAACTGTACAGGGAAATGAGGTTTGGCTTGAAGATAAGAAGTTATGATAAGATGAAGTCATACTTGCAAGATTTAGAATTGGCATGTCTGGTGACCCATTAGGATGGATTACAACACAAGTTCACATAGGGAAGACCACTTAACACACCAGAGGAAGGTCTTCATGTATAAGCCAAAGACATATATGTCATAAGAAACAGTGCTTGCTGATGCCCTGACTGTAGATCTCCAGAAGGGCAAGGAAGCAGTTGTCTAGTGTGGGGTACTTGCTAACAGCAGCCTTGGAAAATGATACAATTATGCTTTATGTACTTCATTTCTGGAAGCATATATGGGCCAAAATACCTGCTTCCATTTCTTGATCAGTTGATATTGATGATGGTATTATTGCAAGTACAGTTAGGGAAAATTGGCTAAGTATCACTGATTCACATTACTGTTCTTGTTTTGCCTAGCAAAGACTAATCAATCACATGGTAGCATCCAGTTAGTGCTAGTAGACAGTCAGAGCATAATTCATGTGTTGTTTTTCTGCCTTTTACCTTTTCAGAAAGATGCTCTCATCTCTGCAAAAGGTAAGAACTATTAAAGAGGCAACATTGAAAATCTATGAATACAAAATTTATTAAATTTTTAGCCCAAATATCAACATGTATTGGTCATGTTCAAGCAATGGATTGATGATATTTTCTGTTGTTTGTTGGACTGAGTGATTAACTCTATATTGGGGTATTCGACCAATAGCATAAATAAAAGGGCACAGGACTGAGAAGATGCTTGTCAGGTAAAAACATTTGTCTGCAAACCTTAACTTGGGGACCCAAGTTAATACCGGAAACCAATACCACGAGAGGAGAGCAGGTTGTTTCTTGTCTTCCACAATATGAACAGTCTGTATAGCACTTGCTCTGTGCACGTGCAAGCAAAAAATATTCTTTTAGAAGCAGGAGGATGTAAACATGTGAATATAAAGAAATAAATGAAAAAAGAGTATATGACATGAATATATGCACATGTATTATGAGTTACCAGGATTTAATTGTGTAAAAAAGTAGGCTGTGGAATTTGATTAATATTGTTTAAAAGATTTATTTCAAACAGAAAAATACTTCAGAACAAAATCTAGGGTCATTTGAAAATAGAAATATTTTTGTTACCTTTAATATACAAAAGAAGTAAATATAACGAGAAGAATTTATATCAGTCATCTCAGGTAATTTTAAAAACCGGTCGCCTGCTTATTGTTATTTTAGATTATTTAAGAAATTTAGCAGTTGTCAGGATTTGAAATAAGAGCATCTTTAAGAAGGTGCAATTGAGAACTGACAAAGCAAAGAAGAGCTGTTTCTTGTTGTGAAACATTGTGAACTTACACTCTTTTATGAGCTAATTGCTTGGAATGCAGCTGAAGTGCATCTGCACTGACTGAACCCCATATCATATATTGCCATCAAGATGAATCCAAATATTTTTCTGTAGTTGGCATTAAGTCTTTGGAATTGGCAGTCTTATATTATTTTTTTACCTCCTTGGAACTGTATAATCTGTATTTTCTCACATCTTTTACCATATTGCCAATTACTCGGGTTTTTCAGATTGTACTCTGACAGGATCTTTTCATTTCAAGAATCCTAGTTTATTTCATACTATTAAACTTCCCTCCTGTGGACTGTCTCAATGCAGAGTCTACCCATCAAAAGAATGATAAATCTCAACCAACTGAATATTTTGGTGCCACCAGTAGAGTTCAGATTTCCTGAAGATGGCACTGTTTAGGGGACCATTAAGTCGCTGATTGACAAGTGTAATTCCTTTGATCTCCAAATTGTTATACAGTGTCATTGAGTTTATGGATATCTACTAATTTGAAAATTATAAAGGGAAGACACAGTCTTTACTATCATATTCACATTCCACACATTTTTATCAAGTAGCAGCATATGAGTGTGAAAATGAACCTGGTTGAAAATAATAAATTAGGTTAAATTGACTGTGAAATATAAACTTTATGGAAATTTAAAACCCTTCTAAATGATTACAATCCTCAATTTGAGACTCATTGAATATTGTTTTCTTCTGAGTGCAAATTAATTTTATTGGCCATAACAATAACATGTTGTTTTGCTTCTAGTCTCCTCAAATTGATGGTTTTCTCCACATTTGGTATGGTCTATTTACCTACTTTTATAGTTTTAATTAGGTAATTATACCACAATCAATACCAAAGTGATATCAACACAGCAGAATTGCAAACAAATTTCAAAACAAGTAAATTTTGTTGTTCCTGGAAATTTTTCATTAAATGCTCATCAAAAACCTCACTAGAATCTGCCTCCCAACTGACTTGGAACTTGTAAAAGCAAATTTAGCAGAAGAATTAAAAGCTTTCTTAGTTTATTGAATAAAATTATGGCAATATTAAGTCATTTGAGGACACACTATTTCTATTTCATCTCTTATTCATCTGTGATTTCTTCTGCATGTCTGCATTAGTGCTATAACCTGTTTCACAATTACTGTGTGTGTGTGTGTGTGTGTGTGTGTGTGTGTGTTATGTCCATCCATGTCTTCTTGTTTTGAGGCTAGACATTGATACTGCTAGTCTTCCTCAATGTTTCTTCACTGTATGTTTTTGAGATCTCTTTCCTTTATAATTAATTAATTTTTTAAAAGAAGTCATCTTTTCTCATTTTACATGCCAACCCCATTCCCCACTCCTTTCTGTATCCCGCTCCCTCCACCTTCCCCCAATCCCCCCATCCAAATTTCAGAGAGGGTAAGTCTTCCATGGGAAGTCACCAAATTCTAGCACATTGCTTTGATACAGGACCAAGGCCCTACCCATTATACGTAGGCTGAACAAGGTATCCCTCCAAAAGGAATGGGTTCTTAACCCCTTGACTCATATTATTGTTCCTCCCTCTCTTTGATTGGACTTTGGGAGCTCAGCCCTAGTACTCTGCTGTGGATCTCTGAATCTGCTTCCATCAGTTGCTGGATATAGGATCTATGATTACATTTAAGATAATCAACAATCTAACTACAGGGCAAGGCTATTTCAGGAATCCTCTTCACAATTGCTAGGATTAGACTTGTGGAATCCTGGGAAATTTTCTAGTGCCTGGTTTCTTGTTAGTCCCATAATGACTTTCTCAACCAACACATCTCTTTCGTTGTTCTCTGTCTCTGTTCTTCCCATTTCTAATATCTTCAAGTTTTCTTCCCTGCGCCCCTTCTGCCTTCAGTTCTCTCCCACACACACACACACTCCCAAATTTCTCAGGAGATCTCACTTATAAGTGGATCTTGGACATAAAGCATAGGATAACAAGAGTATTGTCCACGACCCAAGAGAAGCTAGGTAACAAGGAGAAATGTAAGAGGATCATACATAGATTCCCCCGAGATCGGATCTCTTAAAGACCGCAAAGTTCTCCAACTTAGAACAGCTGGCTAACAAGGCCAGGAGTTTCCCTGTCCGAAGTAGGGACAGTTCAGAAATTGTAGACTCTTTCTACATCTCAATTCTTCTACATGGGTGCTAAGGTCTTCATGCCTATGTGGCAAACACATTACCGATTGTGCCATCTCCCAATGTCCCTTTAAAGAATAACATGGTACTGAAGATATAGCAAAATCTTAGAGTGCTCTTCTAGTATACATAATGCTCTGGCTTCTGTAGCCTCAAACACTCCAAGAGCAGTAATAAAAATAATGAAAGATACACATTGTAAATCTTATATTCAGTTCTTAAGATGAAAATAAGTAAAGAAACAGCCTTTACAATTTTAAGCCATTTACTTTATGAAACATCTAATAATTAATTTTATTTCTCTGAAAGTGATATATTTTAAAACTAGTAAAGGATTTTTTTTAATTATTTGTTTTTATTGTATGTGCATTGGTGCTTTGGCTGCAGGTATGTTTGTGTGAAGGTGGCAGATTTTGGACTTATAGACAGTCGTGACCTCCCACGTGGGTGCTTGGATTGGAACCTTGGTCCGCTGGAAAAACAGCCAGTGCTATAAACCACCGAGCCATTTCTCTAGTCCCTGCTAATCAAGTCTTAAAATAGTCATCTTTAAAACACAAAATGTACTTGGAAGGTAATCATAAGCAAGATAGTTTTCCTTTCCCTCCTGCTAGGAGGCCAGAAGAGTTATCTTGATGCGGTGTGTTTGGTATTTCTTTTCTTTCAAATGAAATGGATTATTGTATATAGATAGTGGCACCAATTAGCAAATCAGGATGAATTGTTGAAATAAGTCATCTTAGATGAGGGACCCTTGTAATTTACATAGAGCACACCAAATCTAGAGCTTACCACTTGGTTTAGTGTGCTTGTGTCTTCTCAACTTAATTATAAACTCTTACAAATAAAAAAACAAACAAACAAACAACAGCAAAGTTAAAATATGCCAAGCAATTGACCACATCAAAGAATGAGATACCTTTCTGGCATTGCTGTCTTTCAGCAACTCACCTATGAGACATCTTAATCTTACATAATATCTCACATAGAAATAAAGAACATTAGTCTCTCCTGCTTTAGAAGACTGTTTTTAATCATGTTTCTTCCAAAAAGAAAAAAAGAAAATTGCTGCCTTGGATTTGCAATTAGAAATGAGCAAAAAAGTCATGGAATCAAACAATAAATTTAAATATTTTGTAAATAATATATTGTGTGCTTTTTGCAGTTATGAGCTTCAGATGAATAATCAGTACAAAAAATGCATTTCAAAATACAACTCCTAAATGTGACTCGCAACCGTCCTCCTTTTAGTGCTAATATTGAATAGTTCCGAATGGTTTCTAAGCTTTGTATTATTTCTGTTTAGTTAAGGGGTGTTAATTTCAGAAACTAATTCCTGACCTTAAGTTCAAACTTTTGGGCTGGCCACTTAATAATGGCAAAAAGATCTTAGTTGTTCATTCAGCTATAATATATTACTGGGTGCATATAGTTGGGAGTTCTTTATATTTCTAGATTAGTATTTGCATGTTTTTTAAGTTTAGAAATTGATATTTGCAATTCTTATTTTATCTAAATGTGTAATTTCAAGGACAAATTGACATTGGAAAATCCAGTATTGTGTAAAATACTAAAAATTTCAAGTATAAGCAACTTTTAGCATGTTTATATTTTGTAAACTTCTTTTAATTATATTGCACTTGTCTGCAGAGTGTATTTACATAGAGATAAAATATCATTGTTGAACCTTTATTAAGTATTTCATATATCATTGGGAAAGAAAAGTAATTTTTCCATAATTTCAGCAATTTTCCTACTAACAGGATAAAAGTCCTTGTATTTAATCTTTTAAAAATGTCATTTATTGATTGGTATGTATATTCTTCTATTACAGTCAAGTTTATTCTATACCTGAGTATTTCTGGAGGATTCTTGAGATATATTTTATATTTTTAGTTCATCTCCCTCATATAAAAATGAGATTTTATGTCTACTTTTTTTCATTTTTTGCACCATGAAATAAGTTAATAATCTTCATTTAATAAACAAATTCCCTGATAATTTACTAATGATCATTAAATGTACGATTCCTTAGTTGTGTAAGAAGACTATGAGTTAACTATATGATAGTTTAAGTTACCTGTAGAATATCAGAGTTTACATATAGAATCAAAGGAGATCATATTTTATTGATTTATGTGAAATATATAGATTATCTTAGTAAATAAATAATAAAATGTAAAGGCAGTTAACTAAGAATGCAGAGGAGAGATTCTGCAGCATGAGAAAATTCAACAAAGATTTTGGATAAAGGAAAATCCAATAGTCAATAAGAAGAGGCACAGGAAACTTGTGTTCCTTAGGGTTTCTATTGCTGTGACAATATAACCGTGCGACACCATAACCGTGATACCTCTAATAAGGACATATATAATTGGCGCTGGCTTACAGTTCACAGGTTTGGTCCATTACACTCATGGCAGGAAGCATGCAGGCAGACATGGTATTGGGAAGATAGCTAAGTGTTTTCCTTCTGGACAGACAGACAAAGAGACGCTGGGACTGGCTAGAGCCTCTGAAACCTTATAGTCCACCCCTAGAGACATACAAGACCGTACCTACTCCAACAAAACCATATCTCCTAATAGTGCCCCGCCCTATGGGAACTAAGTATAGGGATATTTTTATTCAAACCACCACATTCTACTCTCTCTCCCCATAGGCTTATGTCCATACCATAGCCCTACTTAAAAGTCCCCATACTCTATCACAGTATCAGCACTGTTTAAATGTCAAAATTCAATGTCTCTTCTGAGAATGATGCAATCTCTTACATGCAATCCCCTGTGAAATCAAAACGTAAAAAAATAACCACATACTTCCAACATACAAGAGTACATAATATAAATGACACTTTCAAAACGGAAGAAGTGCAACAAATGAGGAAATACTACACCAAAACAAGACTGAAAACCAGCTAGGAAAATTCTAAAATTTGCATGTCCATGTTTGATGTCAAATCACTTTTCAGATCTCCAGATCCTTCAGGTTTTTTTTTTTTTTTTTTTTTTTTTTGACTGAAACACACTTCTTTCTCTTGGTCTGGTTCCACATCCTGCTAGCAGCCTTCTTTGACAGGCATCCCATGACTGTGGCACTCCAACATTTTGGAGTCTCTGAGGCAATCCAGACTTCACCTTCACAGCTTTACATGATGGCCTTTCTGAGTCTCTGGGTCTCAATTCAAGGAAAACCCTGCCACACATGCAGGGCCTCGGTGGCTTTTCTAAGTCGTGGGGAGATATTCAATAACCTCATTCTTGTATCCTCGCCTCTAAAGGCAGAAACACATGGTCAAAACTGCCAAGTTCTATAGCTTTCAGCGACTGGAACAAGGCAGTCGTGTTCAAACACATCTCCACCAGCATTCTTGTTTTGATGGTTTCCTTCTTTGCCTAAGCTTTGTTGTCCTTGAATTCAGTTTGTAGACCAGGCAGGCCTTATACTCTGAAATCTCCAAGGCTCTGCCTTCTCATATCTTGGATTAAACGTGTGCATCTAAGCTTGTCTTTAATTTCCTTTCATGTTTCTTTTTTTCAATTTTTCTTTTATCGATTTCATTGAATTATACATTTTTCTCTGCTCCCCCTCCCTGCCCTTCACGTGCCTTTAATTCTTTTTCTCAAGTTAGAAGCTTAGCTGGGTGCTATTGTGCTCTGAGGTTTTTCCTTAAATCAGTTTACACTTTCTGGTGATCTTTTTTTCTCATATAAGTGTGCAATTTGTACATTTGCTTGCTCAACTTGCTCCATTTTATTATAGATTTGCTTAAGACTGGCCACTATTAGCTATACAACACAGCCAATGGCAAGGTGTTTGACACTGGCCCCTCCCAGTGTTGTTAATCATAACCCTTCAATTCAACCTCAGCCAGATTTTCTTGGACTATAGCAGAAATCTGTCACATTCTTCACCAAAATATTGTAAGACTTATCTCTAGGATACATATTAATATTCTTTCTCTCTAAACAGTCTTGGGCCAGGCTCTCTTAGTTCAAATCACCCTCATCACCACCACTGGCTTCTATTTTCATTTTTACCACCACAAAACTCAATATGAAAATTGTATATGGCAAGCAAAAATCTTCACAACAAAAATAAAGAACCCTGCTGTACTGGCTTTTACATCCACACTTTTAAGATTTGAAAAGCTGAGCCAGGAATATTTTCATGAGCTCAAGTTTATATTGCACAAAGTTGTAAGTTTTAGGATAACCCAAGTTATACAAGAAACTGATTCTCAAAAAAGTAAAAAAAAGAGATATAATGTTTTATTTTAGGAAAAACTTTAGTGTAACTATGAAAATACAATTACTATCAGAAATTACAAGGTGTATGTGATCATCACAAAAATATTGAATTCACACAATACCATCTCACTATTTGTACACTGAGCACCACCAATCCTGAGCTCTAGAGACCAGGATAATTAACTTCATTTTGTCACCATACTCCCAAATTCTACTGTCTGGCAATGTTTTATGGGTAATAGAAAAGAAACATAAGGAGAAATTTAGTGTTCCAGGATCCCAGCTCCCAGTTTGCATAGTTAAAGAACAAGAAGTAACTATTCACCACACCACTTTATTAACTTCATGCACTGGTGAATTGCTTTAAATAACAGCCTGAAATTTGGAGTTTGGAGACTGACACATTGCTACGGGAGCTCCTTACACTCCTTCAGCCAATGGCCTTTAAGATACCAGCCCCCTCGGGCGTGGTCTTTTTGGCTTGGAAAAAAAAAAACAAAACAAAACAAAAACAGTGGTAGCTGTGGGCTCTCTGTCTTGCTTTTGACTCTGCTGTCGATTAGGACTACTAGACTCTTTTCCTGGTCATGCAGGGGGCTGTTGTCTACGACGATGATCTGTAAGTTTTTCCCTTTAAATAAAAACCCCTTTTATTAATCATAATTCCAAACTGGTGTGGGATTGTTTTGTGACTTACTCCTTGTGTCTCTGGAAGCAAATTCTTTATCAAAAACGCTCTCTGATTTTGGATTTATCTAACGCAAGAAAGTAATTTATTTGTAATACTGACCAGCACTCCTTTAATGCCACAATACATGTAGACCACGGCAAAACTCTCTTAGGCATATGTTTTGGTCATCTGCTCCAGTGTATGAAAGTAAAGTGGTCATAAACCAGTGGCAGTGGCAGAAGGTCTACGTTTAGATGATGAGGCAGGAAAAAAACATCTCTGTATTTCTCAACACTTCAAATACTCAATATTTAGTAAGCAGAGTGCTGGGAATAATATTTATTTGCTGAACATGGGCTAAGATAAATTACTTTCATAAGAGAGAATAAATATAGCGTTTGAGTGATAGAACAAGAATTGTTACTGACTGTGAATCAGAACAATTTAACAAATAGTTAAGCATAAGTATACTGCTATACTGGAGAAGTCCATTAGCTCTTGTTGGGTCTATGTGTTCATTAAAAAGAACATGGTGTGTGACACACATTTCCTGTGGAGATACAACACACATGCCTACTCATCCCACATGAGGATTCCACGGCACACCAAAAGTACAACCAAAGCCCAACTTAGTGAACCAATGATTAAGGAAGGAGTGAGGGTGAGGGCTAAGAGGAGCAGAAATGACTCAAAGACAGCCGCACCACCAAAGTCCACTCCAGCATGAGCAATAGTTCACAAAGCTGGGATCCTGCAGCATACCGCACAGCCGGCACACAGCTCAACGTGTTGGAGAGCGTTCTTTTTAGATGACTCAGTGGTTCTAAACCTCTTCCAGGGAGCTCAAGTGGTTTCTGCTTCTTCAAGGCAGCTGGTCTGATTTTGGAGGCTTCTTGGTGCTTTTCTCCTCTGAGAGTCTTTGCCGCCAAGTTTGCCTGAGAGCCTTCTTGGCAGCCCAGCTTACTCTGTTAGAGTGAGTCTAGGCTTCTATTGTTACTATACTTTTGCTGAGAGAGGCATAGTGAATCTGGTAAGTTTCAGAGATTCCTGAAGAATTTTTTACTTTTTTTTCTTACTGAACTTTCTATAGTATATAATGTTTTAATCCATTAGAAAAATGTTATATGGCAATCTATCCCTTGCTCAGGCTCTTGCATTCTTCCTGGTCCCTCTTCTACAGTTCTCTCTGAGCCCTGGAGGGGGTGACTACAGGTGTGCATTATTGCTAACAAATAAACCTCCCTGCCACAATAACAGTCACTGACTCGGGATCTTTACCATTTGTCATGCATTAAGGCTGAAAACAACAGTGAGCTATGGGAATAAACACAAATATTTAGAGGGCAGTTCGCCAAGTGCATTACACCCATTTGGCAAAACAATAGAAATTGCTTCCCACTGAGACCTATGACCCCCCCCCCCCTTCCATAGGTCTGGCTTACAGTACCAGACTTGAACTCTCTCTTCTGGGGCACGCCTTAGAGCCCATCAGAAGGCTGTTGGTCTTACTGACAGGTAAACCATGTGGGCATTTCCTAATAGCACGTTGGTATTTTAGCATATGGTTTCCATAGCCAAGCAGAAATGTTGAGTTCTCTATCAGCAGCCCACAAGGTCTGCTCAGACTCTAAGAAATGATGGGGTTTTGGGGTTCGCACATTAATTTTGTATGCCCTGCAGTCAAAATGTGCAGTGTCTTCAGCAATAGGATCTTACTGTCTAGTTCTGGCATACAACCAATAGCAGTGGAAATAGCCTTTGTGGTTTATGGAACCCCGGGTAATTTTTTGATTAGGAAAATACCCTACTGCTGCCACTGGGGCTTTCATTCAATAACATTATGGCCCCTGAAAGTGTCTTTTTCTAGTCACGTAGAGGGCCGTTTTTACTTAAGCAGTCTGATTGTGACTTTAGTATGACTACAGATACAAATTCTTCTTTGGTGTGCCTACTACTACCATCTATGTATAGGCATATACATGGGTGGGTGGTATCCCTTTCAGTACATCATTTCATTTCAAAGTTATCTCAATTACTTGGGGATTCTCTGTGGCTTTAAAGGAACCTATTTCTAGGAGACCTGCATGGTATTGTTGAGTGAGCTTGTAGGCACCACACCTCATTATGGTAAGTATGCATATCACCTGTGCAGAGTTTGATTCTGTGTTACACCAGAAAGAGGTTTAGCCAGAAGGCCTTCCATCCAGCCCTTTATTGAGTAGCCTATTTTATTTTTGAGTAAACTAATTTTATAATCACAGAGGTAGAACAAGTTTTGAATTCAACCTGTTGGCAACACTTTAATACTGCCCACAGTAGTTTTTCCAACACAGTGTGATGAGTGCCTATTCTGTCCTATGACTGAGACCAAAACCCCATTAAAAGCATTTATTGAGGTTGCTGTTCCCTTAGCCACCAGCTACAGCCTTCTGAACTCTGAGTGACTTCAAACAGGAAGGGACCCGGGAGTAGTAAAGCACACAGCTGTTTGGTCTGTTCCAAAGCCTCTTGAGCCTTTTGGTCCCAATCCCACTACCACTCATTATCAAGTTACCCAAAGGACAGACAACTTAGACATGACGGGGTGTAAAAATCAACCTGTGCCCCGAGTCCAAAGAGTGCCTGTGGTTCCACATATTTATAAGTACAGTCCATTGTATGATTTTGTCAGCAAAATTATCAGGAATTTAACATTCTACCAGACCATAGTACCACTAGAATTTTACAGCTGTGCCTGGTCCTTGGACCTTGTGCAGACTGATTTCCCATCCTCCTTCCTTTAGATTCACTTGTGTATTTCTTTTTTTTAAATTCATATTTCTGTTTATCTTATTAAGAATCCATGAATTAAGTAAACTTTCTTTTCTATGGTTTTGCATAATACAGTACGTTTGAATTTCTGTGTTCTAATTATTTATCTCTAGTTTGATTATCACCATTGATAAAAGTACATCTAATTAATTATTTTTATTATTATTATCTTTAATTCCATTTGTTTTTGACATTATATAATATAGTCATATTATTTCAATTCTTAAGTAGCTCTACAAATCTGCACAGCACTCAGAGGTCAGCATTATGTCTGTATAACCGAACCTTTTTTCAGAAGACTGACAGTGCTAGGCAACATTCTGAAACACTCTTCCATGACAAAACTGGAGGTTATTGATCTTTAAAATGTTTGCTTCTAAGCCTTTAATTTTTTAAAGGTATCTTCATATTCATGTTGTAGACGGCATTTGTTAAGCAGGCATTCCACTCCATATCATATAGATAAAGACTTCTGTCCTGAAATAGCTTCTACAAAAACTCCTAATCCTGATGGCTCAGACACAGTGGCATGTCTCACTGTCCATAGCAAAACCATGCAATCTCTGTCACAGCACAAAGTCACACTGACACACTCCATAAAGGAAGGGAATTTCCTCCATGGAAGGTCCCCATCTCAGGCTTCTCAGTCTCGTGCCTTGATGCCTACAGTCAGGATCTGTCAATCATTTTTCCCCAACTAATCATTGATCCTGTCCGGTACCCATTTGGGTGCCAATTATATTGCATGACATAACTTTTCCTTGAGAGAGGCAACACACAGGGCTACTCATACCAGATAGAGATCCAACAACAGACCAGTAAATGTGCAATTTGTTGAACCAATGAGTTATATTGGGATTGCTTACAGAAATATGCTTTAGATTACCTACAGGAGCAGAAATGATACTAAAACAACTGTGCCACTAAAGCCCACCTAACATGTGTAACAGTTTGTGAAGCTTGGAACCGACAGCACAGTGCCTAACCTTCAGGCAGATCCACAGGTTGGAGGATGTCTTATCCAATTGACTCTGGTCTAAAGCGCTTTCGGGCAGCTCAGGTGGTTTCAGTCTTTGCCAGGCAGCTGGTCTGGATTGGTAGGCTTCATAGCAGCTCAGTTTCTTGCATCCAAGAGGAATAATCACCTTTTATTGCTTGTGGACAAGGAGGAGCCTAGTGAATCTGGTCAGTTTCTTGGACTTTGAAAGCAATTTTGAATTGCTTAGACTGCTGATAAGGAGCTTGCTGCACGATGGGATGTTTTCATCTCGGTGGAAACTGTCACAAAAAAGAAGGCATCAGTACTGGAAGTGAACCAATAATATTTTGAGACAAAACAAATTAAAGTCACTAAAAAATAAAGTATCCTGTTGAGGCAAATGAACTGCTCCTTACCAAACCATATCATATAAATGTTCAATATGATGTGAGAAAATAAAAATGTTATAAGAAACAAAAGGATAAATGAAGAGGATTCAATTATAGAGTCTTCAAAAACTGGCTAATATATTATGTTCTAAAATATAACTCTCAGGATGAGGGAATGGACGACAACTGGGAATTAGTAAGCGAGGTTCTTATAGTATGTTAGCATGTGAGTTAGTACCCCAAGCCATGTTTACAGACCTATTCATATTTTCACATTGTGGTCAGTTCTGCATTCTAATGTTTACAATTTAGTAATGAATATGCATAGATATCCAATCTAAATAAGCATATCACAATATGATTTAATTGTATTAAAATATTTGTAAACAAGACATTGAAAACTGAATATTTCTGAAGTTATATTTATTAATCCCCATTTTCCTACATATATTTTATTTTATGTTCCTCTGCACTTTTAAAAGACAGTTTAACGTTCTTTATAATGGATGATTTCACTCTTTTTCTCTCCAATTCTAAATCAATTCTACATGGTGAATCCTTGCATTTCTATTTCTGTGTACTTGTGAAATTGAAACCACTCCATGCAAATTAATGGATCAAAAACCATGTAATTTGGATATATTTTACCAACAAACTGGCATAGAAGCAGTTTCTGTTACTGCACACCACAGCAAGACTTAATAAGCAAAAGACATGAACAAATGCCAATACTGATGTATCTCATTGAATGATAAAAAATAAATCAAAGATTTTGTTCTTTTTGTGAATATCAAGAACACACACTTCTTATATTATTATTAAGAATCTGCAATACACAATGTCCTTCTATGGTCAGTTTCTCTAATTTGTAAATTTCATAAACAGTGACTATAACTGCTCTATCATTTTTAAAGATTTTAGGCTGCCTTCTTCTCCTTCTCTTTCTCCTTTTAATTCCGCTTCCTCTTTCTCTTCCTCTTCCCTTTCTTTGTCTATTGTCTCGAGGTTTCAAGATGAGTTAAAGATGTTTGCTGGAACTCAAGGTTGGAGTCCTATATTTGTTTACCTGAGGTTACTCTTTGAATTACTCCAAATAGATATATGATTAATTAGATTTACTTTCCAAAGTAATATCCAACACTGAGCAGTATCAACATTTTTACTTTCACACAGAACTGGGTTTGTGTGTGTGTGTGTATGTGTGTGTGTGTGTGTGTGTGTGTGTGACCAAGTGCCATGTCTATGTCTGACTAGAAGCTTTCTTCTTTAATACTTTCTGAAAGGATTACTGCAGCTTACTTGGCAACTCTTCTGTGATGAAACTGAAACAGTTGTTAGAATTATTATAATTTCAAATTATGTTTTAATTAGTATGCTTACCTTGTTTCTTCTGTCTCTAATAGAGAGATTCAGTATCCTAGGTCATTACTCTCTAACTAGGATTTCTGAACATTAGAATACATTTATTTAATAATAATTTCCTAAATATTTGTAATAATTTGTACCTTTGTATCTTATTCTATTTAGTTATGTTTACAGGGAAAAATGAATCATGAAAATTGATTCATAAAGTACTAAATACAAGCCCAATAGAACAATCCTTCAAATTTCTTGAAATACATTACTCAAGAACCAAAAAAAGGAATAGAAGACACATACAATATTACTTTACAATATATCAAACTGAAAAAACATGGTAAATATTTCAACAGTATGAAAGTATGCATTTCAACTAGACATATTCTAATAAAAATCTCCACTACCTTCATCATATGTATATTTATACTACAGGGG